CAGGCATCATAACATTTTTTTTTCAGTGTGCAGGCCCTACCCTCTGAAGTCAACCTGCAGTTCCAGGAGGGTGGACACTTTTCCTGGTTTGCCCTGGTGACTGAGGCTTGAGGCACAAGCCAGACCTGAGGCTTGTTCCTGCCCCACAGTGGGGAGGGGGCAGACAGGCTCCCAGGTGGGTGGTCAGCAGGCCTGTGTGTAGCAACTAGTATTCACTTTGGTGATTCAAATCACTGTCCTTATTTGATTTGGCTGAATCTGATTCGGAGATTCGGCTGCTGCTGAATCTCCGAATTCGCTAGGCCCGAATCAAATCAGGACAGTGATTCAAATCACTGAATCAAATCACTGCCCCCCGAATCAGATGAATCCGAATCTGAAGCAAATACTAGCCACTTCACGATCCCTGCTGCCCCCCACTGCATGTGGATGATGTGATGCAGATGATGCGGAGGCCAGTGTGAAGGGAAGAGGAGTCCAGGAGAGCTGGCTGTACTTTAAAGAAACCTTACTGAGGGCACAGGAACAAACCATCCCGATGTGCAGGAAAACTAGCAAGTATGGCAGAAGACTAGCTTTGCTTAGCAGGGTACTCTTCAGTGAGCTAAAACCCAAAAAGAAAGTTAAAAAAAGTGGAAACTTGGACAACTAGGGAGGAGTATAAGAGTATTGCTTGGGCATGCAGTGATGAAATCAGGAAGACCAAAACACAACTAGAGTTGCAGCTAGCAAGGGACATGAAGGGTAACAAGAAGGGTTTTTACAAGTATGTCAGCAACAAGAGGAGGGTCAGGGAAAGTGTGGGTCCCTTACTGAATAGGGGAGGCAACCTAGTAATAGATGATGCAGAAAAGACTGGAGTACTCAATGCCTTTTTCACCTGATTCTTCACAGGCAAGGTTAGCTCCCAGACTGCTGTATCTGGCACCCCAGTTTGGGGAGAAGGTGAGCACCCAATAGTGGCAAAAGTCCAGGTTAGGGACTATGTAGATAAACTGGACATGTGTAAGTCCATGTGGCCAGATGCAATGCACCCAAGGGTGCTGAGGGAGTTGACTAATGTGACAGCAGAGTCACTGGCCATCATCTTTGAAAACTCATGGTGATCAGGGGAGGTCCCGGATTATTGGAAAAGGGCAAATATAGTGAGTATCTTTAAGAAAGGGAAGGAGGAGGATCTGGGAAACTACAAACTCACCTCAGGACAACTACAAAGTTCTGCACTTAGGATGGAAGAATCTCATGCCCCATTATAGGCTGGGGACCGACTGGCTAAGCAGCAGCTGTGCAGAAAAGCTCTTGGGGCTTACAGTGGATAGTAGATTGAATATGAGCCAACAGTGCGCCCTTGTTGTGAAAAAGGCTAACGGCATACTGGACTGCATTAGTAGGAGCGTTGCCAGCAGATGGAGGGAAGTGATTCTTCCCCTCTATTCAGCAATGGTGAGGCCACATCTGGAGCCCTGTGTCCAGTTTTGGGCCTCCCACTACAGAAAGGATGTGGACAAATTGGAGAGAGTCCAGTGGAGGGCAACAAAAATGGTTAGGGGGTTGGGGGACATGACTTCTGAGGAGAGGCTGAGGGAACTGGGCTTATTTAGTCTGGAGAAGAAAAGACTGAGGGGGATTTAATACCAGCCTTCAACTACCAGAGTGCTGGTCCCAAAGAGGATGCAGCTAAACTGCTCTCAGTGGTAGCAGATAACAAAGAGCAATGGTCTCAAATTGCAACAAGGGAAGTTTAGGTTAGCGATTATGAAAAACTTTTTCAGTAGCAACGTAGTAAAGCACTGGAACAGATTACCCAGAGAGGTTGTGGAGTCTCCATCCTTGGAGGTTTTTAAGGCCTGGCTGGACAGAGCCTTGACTGGGATGATCTAGTTGGGGATGGTCCTGCTTTGAGCAGGGGGCTGAACTAGATGTAACCTGTAGGGGCCTCCTCCAGCCACACTTCTCTATGTTTTCTCTGAATTCTATGAATGACCCTCTTCAGTGGTTGCAATAGCCATTAGCTCAGAGCCATCAGTGTCACTGACTCCATCAAGCAGTTGTGGAACAAAGCGGGGGTCAACCAACCCACCAGCTGTGGGTGCCGACCTCAGGTGGTGCGGGTGAGGGAGAATAGATAGATCACCATGATGCTGCAAGCAATTCAGCTGGTGTGTGTGCATCTGTATGTGTTTGTGTGCATGCATTTGTCTGTATGTTTGCACACATGTCTGCATACAAATGGGACAGATATTCCCCATGGCTCTCTGCTGGGGGCAATATGTGGGACAGATGGCCATTTCCATGATACTGACTGTAGCAAGCATCTATATGCTAACCCTGCTTCCCCTAAGCTAGTGTAGTAGATGAGCCAGTTCTCTTCCATCCCTCCCCCTCCAGGATTGTTGGTTTTGAGGTGGAGCACAGGTGTTTCCCAGCTCCATAGGTGTCTCCTGGAGATACCACTGCAGCACAGGGTAACCAGTCCCTGACAGCAAACAGACACTGTAGCAGGGCCTGGGAGGAGGCACAGTGAACATCTGCCGCTGGAGACTAGCAGGCAGGGTTGGGTAGAGATGGCTGGCAGGCATGAGGGGCTGGGAGGGTCCTGGGCTCCCAACTCCACAGCAGGGGCTGTCTGCCTGGAGGGGCTCAGATGTAAGCTGTAGGTATGGCCAGTGACTGAGAGACCACACTGACCATGGCAGACTACAGACCTAGCAAAAGCCTGAGTAATGAATGGTATGTGCTTGATATACAATCAACAATGAATAAGCTTGCAGTTAAATCAGTAACAGCACCCTGGGAAAGTAGACCAAGAATCTGTTTATCAAGCCTCTGTTAGGCTAGGCCAAGAATGAAGAACTGCTTTTTGGAAAAATGTTAACAGTAACTGAAAGCAACTATCGATGTTTTGCCTTTTGCTAACAATTGAGTTGTATGTAGTCAGTTCAAATCCAATTGCAATAATCACCTAGCTTTGTTAACCTGCTGTCAGCCTTGGCCACTTTCAAAGGACTCATGTTAAGTTGCAGACATGTGGCTAAAGCAGGCCACACAGCCTATGCCAGAGTGCACCACTGCAGACAGGGCCATCCCTGGGGGGGTGCAGTTGGGGCAACTGCCACAGGCCCCACACTTTGGGGGGCTCTGCAGAGTGAGGCGGAGCAGCAGCAGTGTGGAGCTGGATGGAGCAGTGGCTCCCCATCCAGTGGCGCACTACACCCCCCTGCTGCTGATGCTATTGCCACTGCTGCCCGCAGCAGCTTCTTCAGGTCTGGGGCTGTGGGATCGGAGTGGGGGCAGGGCCCTGCACCCTGATGGGGTCAGCTCTGATTGCAGGTGTTAGAACTGGCCTAGTCGGCAACATAAAAGAACTAGAACATGAAGAGAAGTATTCCCAGGTGGTGAGGGAGTTATGTCCTCCCTCCCAGAAGTGTACTTTTCATAAGGACACAGGCCCAAGCTAATTGGCATCTTCCAAGCCCACAGGAAAACTGGTTCAGTCCCGTTCCTGAAGTTTCAGTGAAACAAAGATACATGAATAACACCAATAAGAATCTTTATTTAAATGAGCCACATGTAAATATTGGGTGTAAATGGGGGATCTTTGGGAAAACCACTACAGAGTCAAGACAAGGTCTTGCCAGCCTGCATGCCACCTTCCGCCTCCCTGTGTCTCCTCCAGCCAGTACAGGTGAGAATCTGTGTAGTGCTGTTGCTGGTAGCTAGATAAACAAAGCAGTGCCTGTTATGGGATATAATCTATAAAAGGTTGGATTATAGACCTGTCTCACCTCTACCTGACCTGCTAAGAGGGAATGGAGTATCACTGGAAGATGTGATCGCATTTTGACTTGGTGTACACAAAGGATAATCAGTAAGGGAGTTGCAACCATCCCTGAAATCTAAGCTTGCAAAGGAGTCCTGATCACAGAAGGGCTGTAGTTTTGTTTCTCAAAAGACCAAATGGTACTGGGTTGCTGGTAACAGAGGCTCAGGGCTGCCCCCCTCCAGGACAGCTCATCTTGTCCCTGCAGCCTAGTGATGGGACTTCCCAGGTGCCCAGCAGGCAGCTGAGCCCCCACACCTCATAGGCCTGAGCTGCTGGGTCTCAGGGGTCATAATGCAGCCCCCCCACCCACCAGTGTCTCAACAATGGGGAATACAGAAGCAGGAACACATGCAGGTTTAGAGCCCCCAGCCAGTACCTCCACCTGGCATGGCTGGGGCAGGGGTGCCTGTGGGTGCTGGCCCCCTGCAGCAAGTGCAGCAGCAGGGAGGGAGCAGCATAATCCCTGGAGCCCTGAGGTCCATGTAAGGGCATCATGAGAGGAAGGACACAGGTTTCTCCAACCCTGGCCCCGGGGGAGATGCTAGCACCATAGGGGCCTCTGATACCACTGTCCATGGCACAAGAACCACCCCTGCCCCCCACAGCCATTTCCCCTCCCATGGCTCCCAGGGCAGGTGTGTCACTACCCCTGTGTGACAGCTGAAAAGTGTGCCTGTGTGATCAAGGTGCTTGCTGAAGGCTCTATGAAGATTAGACCAAGTGTTTTTCTGTATTTGTTTAGATATTAAGCTATATGTTGTTGCTAAAAGCCTAATTAAAGTCTAAGATGTAGTGAGGCCTTGTATAAAGTAAGGCCTAGTAAACTTAGCAAAGCCTTGAAGTAGTAAGGCCCTGTGGCGTAGTTAAAATTACCTTATCAAAAGAATGCAAGGCTTGTATTCCTATTGGTCAGTCTAAGGACAGTTGAAGTAAAAGGAATCTGAGTGGTTGTACGTTATCAGAACCATTCAGAAGCTTTAAATTGGCTGGAATATCTGGCAACTATTCAGAAGGAAGATACAGCTCTGTATAAAGGATTAGTTAGCTGTTGCCTGGATCAGTGGGCCCATGGAGCTCGAGGAGCCCAAAGGACTGCATTCCAGGGTCCTTCCCGGTACCCCTCAGACAGTGCTGTTCAAGGACGCCTGACTTCGCTGAACTTTGTGGAGAGAAACTTGCTGTGTATCAGGCGTCAGAGGGGACTGCCAATAAGTTGCTGATGCGAATTGCTTTTGTCTGTCATTGTTTGTCTTGTTACTACGCATAGTTGTGTTTTTGTTAAGTCAATAAACCTTTCTTACTTTTCTACCCTCGACCATACTCTTGATCCCGAACCCTCCGCAGGTGGCTGGGACACCCCTGCCCCAGCCTAAGGGGGAAAAAACAGCCCCTGCTCTTGGGCTGGGAAGGACCGTGCTGGGGGCAGTGAATAGGGAAATTGCCCAATGCTGAGGACTTTTTAACTCTGAGGGTGAAAAGTCAGTACCATGTGAGGGGAAGGGGTTTTGTTTAAAATACCCTTAGAGGGAAAAATAATACCCCAGAGAGGCTCCTCTGGGGGTATAACTACCCCCCCAGCAATGGGCAGTTCCAGAGGGGCAGCTGTCCCCCTCCCACATCTGCCCCCTCAGCCCTTGGGGGTGGGGGGGCTTAGGGCTGTGCAACCTTGGCCTGGGGCATTTGAATCCCCTCAGTCCATGGCAGGGGGTGGGAAGAGCTGGGGCTGTTTTCTTGTCACCATCATCAAGGCAGACCCCAGTGTGCGGGTGTGGGGGGAAGGGAACAGGCTCCTTCCCCTGCGGCCCCAGGGAGCTACCCTCAGCACCTGCCACAGCGTCCTCCCTGTAACAGGCCCCTTCTTCCAAGGAGGGGTCGAGAGGACTCAGTTTTCCCCACACTAATGTTAGCTCTTCTCACCAGGCAGCTTCACCAAGTAGGGAGTGAGAGAAAGGCCCTTAATTTCTGTATCCCTCCCATTCCCCATGAGCCGCCCTGGCTTCTTATAACACATCCAAGACCCCCTGGCTCCCTGTCACTTGAACCCCCCAGCAACACTTGCACCAACCTCTATCACCCCAAATACTATGATTCCTGCAGGACTCTTCTACTCACTACAGACCCCTCAAAATCCTCAGGCTCCCCATGAGCACCTCCCCCCCACCCCAAGAACACACTGCTAAAGCAGTCCATATATCCCATAACCCCTACTCCAGGGCAGAATGCTTTCCCTTGCGGTAAATGCTATAACGCTGCCCCAGACACACACTACATTCTCCCCGCGTGCTCAAGCCCTGAGCCTAGAAAACCATTCACCCAGCACCCCACCCAGACTGAGCTGGCTGTGGGGACGGAACAGTGTGGCAGTGAATAAGGGCAGTGAGGAAGATGGGCACTGGGGCTGGGGAGAGCAGTGGTTGTGAAGGGGACTGGGGGTCCTAGGACAGAGTGAAAGATGCTGGGAGGATTTGGGGGTCAGGGGTGCTGGGGCATCGGCAGGTATGGTCTGGGGCATTGTAGGATTATCACAGAGGCAAAAACAAAGGGAAGCAAGGTTGCATGGTGTTTGAAATGAGGACATTGGTGTTTTACCATCATGGTTAGGTCAGGCAGAACTGAAACTTCCCATCCTCCAACTGACCCAGCTGCTCCATTAAAGCACCTGGTGTGGGCACAGCTTTGCTGACAGGGGAATACATTCATCTGCTTCAGCCCACATCAACCAGGAGGTCATGAATCTACACCCTTTGCTGGCACAGACTATCTACACAAGGGCGCTGCTATCATCACTGCACCATCAAAGATCCTGCAGACAGGCACAAGTGCCTGAATCTCCCCAGGGAAGCTGTTTTCTGGGCAGAGACTCCCCATAGGGGTAGACTGACTTAGCTATTTATTGACTTATTTATACCTTGCCTTACATGAACGTCTCAGCCAGGCTTGCAATAAACAAATACAAGGCAGGGTTCCTCAAACAGCCCAAAATGTGAGAACTCCAACCCCCACCCCTCACCCTATACACGAGCACACACCCCCCCACCACCACCTACCCAACCATGCCTCCCAGTTGCTACTTCCAGCCAAATGTAAGACACCGTTCTGAACCCCCAGCTCCCCAATTCCCATCACCCCACCTCAACCTCAGGAGAGATCCTCCACCCTTCCCAAGGTTTCTACCAAACCTGCACCCCCTCCCCCAAAAGCACAGTCAATTCTTCCCCTGAAACAAGCCTAACACTACAAAAGTAGGAAAAGTAAAAGAAAGGCTCATCTTGGGCAATGTCAAAATGCCACCCTTAAGCACAACATGGGCAACCAATATGGGTACCAAACCAGAGCTCCTGCAGCACAGGCCTGAGTCCGCTTATCTCCTCCGTCCCTGCTGCAGCCCGGAACCCCAACTATGGAGGTTCTCCTAGGAGTCACAGTCATAGAGAAGTGGGGCTGGAAGGGACCATCTAGTCCAACCAGAGGTTGCATCTAGTCCAACTTTCTACCTGAGGCAGGATCAGCTCTATCCAAACCATACCATACAACCATAATCTAAACGCTAAAGGAGAACACTTCCATCTTCAAGGCGAATGCAAACCCAACACCTGGGGACTGTGGAGGTGGGGGCACTTTAGGCCAGCTGCCAGGCTTTCCCCCACTCCCACTTCAGGACACCAACTGTGTGGAGAAATGGCAGAAACCACCCTATGTCAATGGCAAGGGGCAGGCTGGTGGGTTCGTTGGTGCTTGTTCAGAGCAGAGGGATCCCTGAAGCTCTTCCCACAGTCACTGCAGTGGCACGGTTTCTCCCTGACATGGATGCGCTGGTGCACTCGGAGGTGGGATGAGTGGATGAAGCTCTTCCCACACTCCCCACAGTGATATGGCTTCTCCCCAGTGTGTATTCGCATATGCACTTGGAGGAAGTCCTGGCGGGCAAAGCTCTTGCCACACTTGGCACAGCCATAGGGCTTCTCCCCTGTGTGCGAGCGCTGGTGCACTTGGAGGTGAGACAGCTGGTTGAAGCTCTTCTCGCACTCGGTACAGCCATATGGCTTCTCCCCTGTGTGGATGCGCTGGTGTTGGGTAAGAGTGGAGCTCTGCCGGAAGCTCTTCCCACACTGTGCACAGTGGTAGGGCTTCTCCCCAGTGTGGATACGCTGGTGGACACGGAGCTGGGACAGCTGGTTAAAGCTCTTCCCACACTTGGGACAGTGATGCGGCTTCCCACCCGTGTGGACACGCTGGTGGACTTGGAGGTAGGACGAGTGGTGGAAGCTCTTTGTACACTGGGTGCAACCATGTGGTTTCTCCTTGGTGTGGATGTGCTGGTGCCTGGTCAGAGCAGAGGGATCTCTGAAGCTCTTCCCACATTGCGTGCAGTGAAACGGCCTCTCCCTGGTATGGATGCGTTGGTGCACACGGAGGTGAGACGAGTGAATGAAGCTCTTTCCACACTCCCCACAGTGATATGGCTTCTCCCCGGTATGCATTCGCATATGCACTTGGAGGAAGTCCTGGCGGGCAAAGCTCTTGCCACACTTGGCACAGCCATAGGGCTTCTCCCCCGTGTGCGAGCGCTGGTGCACTTGGAGGTGAGACAGCTGGTTGAAGCTCTTCTCACACTCGGTACAGCCATACGGCTTCTCCCCCGTGTGGATACGCCGGTGGACTTGTAGGTGGGACATTTGGTTGAAGCTCTTCCCACAGTCCCCGCAGTGAAATGGCTTCTCCCCTGTGTGGATGCGCTGGTGCTGAGTGAGTGTAGAGCTCTGCTTGAAGCTCTTCCCACACTGAGTGCACTGGTAGGGCTTCTCCCCAGTGTGGATGCAGTGCTGGACTCTGAGCTTGGACAGCTGGTTAAAGCTCTGCTCCATCTTAGCACAAGGGTGGGCCGTCTGCCTCCCGTGAGTTTGACCATGCACCCTTAGCTCCTGTTGGCCCCTGAAGCTCTCACCACACTCTCCACATATATACAGTTCCTCCCCCATGGGAGTGCTGCCCTCATGGCTCCTCAAGTCCTTCTGTCCCTTGAATCCTTCACTGCATATAGGCCTCCTACAGGGCTCAGCTGTTCTCTGTCCCCATTGCATAAGCAGCTGGTTAATGGCTGGAACCAGGTCAAGGTTTGCAAGCTGTTCTTCAGCAGGCTGTTGCTCAGCTCTGCTCAGCATCCTGGCACCTGCTGGATAGAGAAGGCAACCTTGAAATTGGGCCGCAAAGAACAGAACTTGGCACTCTGGTACCTTGTGAGAAAAGAGGTCCAATACCAAGTATTTCCAATGCTGGGGGTGGAGGCAGGTCAGTGCACTGTGCTAATGTTCCCTAGTGAATTTCAGACCGAATCACAGTGGCTCTGTCCCAAATCCAAATCTCATCTGAGCAAGGAGACCTCAGAGGTGTAGCAGCCAGGATCTGCATTCTGGGTAACAACACCAGCAGAGGAAATGGCTGGAGCCCAGCTGCCTCCAGTTGCTGGACTGGCAGTGGCCATGGCAGCAGCTCCTGTTCATATTCCCCCTCTAAGTGGACACCCAGGTTTGCTGCCTCAGTCACCCACCACTCATTGCACCACTATATCATCTCAGATCTTTCAGAGGAACACACGTAGGATGTGTGTGCTGGCACAGGGTGGGCTGTGGCTCCACACACTCTATAGCTGGGAGATGAGAGATATCATCCTAATGGAAGAATGAGACTCTCTAAGAGCTCAGCTACACCTTGACTGTAACAAGTGTGAGGAAAGAGGGTACTGAGCATGCCCCTACTCATGGACTGCTGCCATACTACAAACCACAAGTTTCAAATATATGGTCCACGGGCCAGATCCAGGTTATCCAGTTTGCAGCCTTGATAGGAGAGCCTTCCCACAACTGCAGCCAAGTTCCTGGGTAAGACCCACAGTGCTGGAGCCCACACAGCACTGTGACTTGTTCCTGCAGCAGCAGCTGAGCACCCATGATGGTGGGCTTCTTCCCGCAGTAGTGCTAGGATTCCAACACTGCAGCTCTCACCCAAGCACTAAGCTGCAGCTGCAGGAAGAAGCCACTGTGCTGCTGGGCTGCCAAGCACCCAAGTGAAAGCCACAGCACTGGGGCCCCAGCAGCACTGTGGGAAGAAGCCCAATACTGCAGCTTGTTCCCGCAGTAGCAGCCAAATGCCCAAGATGCCGGGCCTGTTTCCATCTGGTCCCAGATGGATGAAAGCTGGTGTAGCACACGCTGGATCTAGCACTAGAGGGCTGAGGGAGGTGTGTGGGCCTGATCTGGCCTGCAAGGCCAGCCCCATGCCATTCATCTGGCCCATGGACTGGTCCCATACTACACATTCAGCCTGCAGGACCAGACAAGTTTGACACCCTTGATACAGACCCATGACTTCATCAGTGAGGCTACTTGGGGCTCAACCCCAGTGATCACTCTCAAGCTCTCTGTCTCTGGCAGCTCTGAGAACCGCATCTGAGGACCAGACTGAAGCAGCCTCACTGGCAAAGTTCTGTGCCTGGAGCATGTTAGCAGACATGGATGGTGAGGGGGCATGCTGAACACTGCCTTCTCTGCAACGCACCACTGCTAAGGTATAAACAAGTCCTAAGGGCTTCTTGGAATAAAAAGAAACTACGTCAGCCCTCATCCCTCAGAGAAATGTTCTGAAAAGGGAGGATTTTGGAACCGATGAGCCAGGCTGGAAATAAGCTCTCTACTTCTCCCTTCTGGAGGGAGCAGAGCTCTGCTTCCTACCTGCTTGCAGGGAAGTCTCTCCTCTAGGGAACGAGTGCCAGGAATTTTCCTCTGTTGATGAGTCCCAGGTGCCCTCTGTGTCAGAAGAATCTGCACCAGGCATAAGAGATAACCTGGATGTGGGCTCTAGGTGCAGAGATGCAGCAGGAAAAGAGATCCTGTTGCGAACCATGACAGGTTTACATCTCCCAGACCATGAGAGTCTGTGAATCCCACCCATCCCTGTGGGCTATGTAATACAGTCCAAGATACTGACAAAATACTGCCTTTATTCCCCTGCTACAGAGAAATGTTAGTTTCATTTAATGGAGGGGACCAGCAGTAATGGGCAAAAGTGTCCCAGCATACCTATAGCCCTACCCCAATGACTGCCAGTGCTTGCTAACCACGAAAACTGCCATGAAACAATACAATACAAATCATGCCCTGGCAAAGTGCATTACAGAGATCTGGCCAACTTGGGCTGGAGTGTTAACTCCCACATTGCTGAGTGAAAATGGGAATTCCAGCCCATGGTACCATGGAGAAATGACATTTGTGACTAATAACAGGATATCAGGCTAGGATTTGGCCCTAGCACTGTCAGGCTTTCCTGGGGGCAGGTCCTCACCTCCATGACAGATTCCCTGCCAAAGTAGGTGACTGAGGCTCTTTCTCCAAAGAGACAGAGAATGGGGAATTGCTGGAGGGGTGAATTTGGTTTTCATGCCCCAAGAGCCCTAACAGGGGAAGGAGAAGGTCATTTGTGCCTTCATCTTTGAATTGCAGGGCATGGGAACACACACCTACCTGGATAACTGAGACCAGGATAAACTGTTTGAGATCAGTACCTTGAGGCAGCAGGATAGGGCAGAGTTGCAGGTCACTCTGAGGAGGTGGGGTAAGGCAAACTGGCATGACTCACCTGGGGACACGCCCTCTGACTGCACACTTTCTCCAGGGTCATAATCATCACAGACCCACAGCTCCACCTCCCCTCGCTGGATGCGGCAGATCAAGTCTGGTATGGGACCTTCATATCCTGTGGGGGAAAGTGTATCAAAAGGTGGTTATGTTTAATTACTCACCATCCAGGGCTTGATGTGAATTTGAGGAACGGAGCCAATTCTAAGGGGACCTTGAAAAAACAGGGAAGGTGGACATTTAGGATGAAAGAGAAAACACTACAAAAGGAAAATCTTTCAAGAAATGACAGCCCTTCTCACCCTGCTAAGTGCAGTCATAAGAAAAAATATGAACCACTGAGAAGTATATAAAGGGTATAAAAGTCCAAGTAGCAGCATGAAAGGTAGGCAGAGGTACAGTGATCTGTGATGTACTAGGAAAAAGGAAGAGAAAGCTTTCTTATAGATTTCTAGCTACCAGCTTGAAAAGAAAGAGAACAGACCCACTTATGAATGAATATAACTTATTATTATGAGTGAAGAAGCAGTTATAGACTGACCCTCAGATATGGTCTGAGAGACCAGGGTTATTCCTAATACCAGTCTCAACAAAATTAACTGGACCTAAAAATGATTATAAGAAGACTTTAATAAAGCTATTTTTTTAATTTATGATTAGGGAACTGTGTCAAATTATTTTATTCCTGTTAAACTAGTAAGATCTTTCCAGATCCTGAAAATAAGAAAATATTACTTGGACTCAAACAGCAAGATTATGGAAATTACAAAATAAATAATTACAAATAAAGAGAATGGCTAAAAACCTAGAAATTACAAACAGCACATGGCTATAAACCTAGGAGAGATGAAGGTTACATTCCAGAAGAAAAAGAAAGTGATCTTAACTGTCTGAATTTCCTTAGTTCTAAGATTTTAGAAAAACTAACATGTGGCCAGGCTGTTAAATCAACTGACTCTGCCCAAGTTCAGAGACTAAGCCAGTGGCTCTCAACCACATTAGATTAAAGGCACTTGTCAGAAAATTCTAGTATTTTGTTTTTTGTCTTTTCTTGACTACAGACAAATGTTGGTGTTGCAAACAATTCAGGAAGACCACAATGAGCTAAAACAGGGGTTTTCAACTTTTTTTGGTCAGGGTACCCCCTGCAGCCAGTCAAGAAGCGGGGAGTTGCCCAGCAGCCAGTCCACAAGCGAAGGGGGGGGGGGTCCCCCCCTGCGGCAGCGAAACTGAAAGTGCCACCAGCTCCTCTGTGCCGCTGCCATGTACCCCCTCAGGCCTTCCAAAATACCCCCAGGGGTACGCAATGAAAACCCCTGAGCTAGAGCATTTTGACACCGTGGATCCTATATTAAAATCTCTGGGTTTCTCTTGTCAATTATGTCTACGTGTCTGCACACTGAACAGTGCTAATACTTTGAGGTAGCTCAGGGTACCCTTAAAAGTGTATCACAGTGCCACAACACCCTGGCTGAGAATCACTGGATGCTGAGAGCAACTGTATGTAGCATCTGTCTCAACCCAGCAGCTCAGGCCCGGACTCTGGCTCTGGGCCAAAGCTGCTGCCACCACAACAGTTGCTGGGTGGCCAGGCTGGGGACTGAACATGCTCTGTGCCCTGTACTAGAGAGGGGCTGGAGGACAAATGAGGGCAGAGAACAGACAGCAAGAGGCAAGGTGTGGAGGGGCAAGCAGCAGGGGTCAGGTCATTTAACACCCCCACCACCTGCCCCCTATTGCCTGACCCCCTACCGCCTGCTCCACTGCCACTTCTTTCTCTCCTGCAGAGGTAGGGGGGATGAATTCAAAATGATTCTCTACCCCCACCCCCACTGATAATTAGACTCTATACATAAATAATTATAACAGACTTATACATTTTCCATGTATAGATTCTATTTATTGGATGGTTACCTTAAATTCAAAGTCTTCTTGGATTTAGGTAAACGTGATATTTGTGAACACTGTGTTGGAGATGATCTATTTATTAATGATTTGGATGCTGGTGTAGAAAGCTGCTTGAGCAAGTTTGCAGAAGACACAAGTGGGAAGGATTGTGAACAAACTGGAGGATGGGAGCACAATTCAGAGTCATCTTAGACTGGACAGCTGGGCTGGAGTTAACAAGCTGAAGTTCAGTGCTGACACATGCAAGAATAAGCATCAAGAAGGAATTTTACCCCATGGTCAAATTGGTATGGGCTAAGGAGTTGGGAGGGTGGGAGGGAAAAGGGGATAGAGAGTTGCCTTCTTCTGTACCTGGGAACTTGTTGTAGTCGTTAATATATGCTCACAACAGGATATACCTGTGACAGGTTCAGATGTTATGTCTGGTGTTGTGTCAGGGTTGACCGTGCTGTTTTGCCAATAGGTTAGAAAATGGATTTCTATAAGACGGTTTATATAGAGATGATCCTGCCTCAGGCAGGAGGATGGATTAGATGACCTCTGGAGGTCCCCTCCAGCCCTACTTCTCCATGATTCTGTGGGCTCTGGGGAGCACAGAAGGACATCATCTTGCAACATATGAAAGAACCACGAGTTTGACCAAGAGGAAAACCAAAGTGAAGGGGGATAGATTTGAAACCACCCCCCCAAAAAACCAAGGAAACTATGACAATACAAAACATCACAGTGGCCTGAATAATGACAGCACTGGGGACAAACTAGGTTTAAACCACCAGCTCAAACTTCGTAAGAGGACAGCAGAACAAGGAGAGGAAGGGAACATTTCTGAGCTCTCACAGCTTTTGGGAGAAACAGGAAACAGAACTTTACCCAGGGAAACAAGGGCTTGGTAATTCCTCAGCATCTGGTCCTGGTAAAGCACCTTGTCTCGGTCTTCCAGCAGCTCCCATTCCTTCTGGGTGAAGTACAGCGCCACGTCCTCAAAGGCCTCCTGGAGCTGCAGGCACACACAGTCCCTTCTGCTCCAGCCTCATCCAGGCCCCCAAGCCCTGAGCTTTATGCTGCACTATAATGGTCTGTCAGCCTGGCTACACTGGGCATGGATGTGCAACTTCCCACACTCAGCTGACAGATCCCCAGCAAAGCCCCTGGTGTGCACGCAGCCTGGAGTGTGCCTACTCTAGAGCGCACTGCCATAACTAAACTACCAATTGTGACCCCAAGATATGAATCCTTCTCCAGCAAATACCTCTTCAGGATATCCCCAGGACCTACATAGCTTTGAGCCTTACTCTGCACCACAACCACCTGCCAGTTAGGGATTCACATCTCCCCAGCCCTCGGCTGACATGCTGTTTGAGCAAAGAGAGGTGTGGTCAAAGCTCTGCTGACAGAGGAGTGTGTTCCTTTCCTTCCACCCATATGATCCCAGAGGTAGTGCTGTACAGGCTGTGTACACCCCAGTGGGAGCAGCCACCACCATCACTCCAGCAGCAAGCTGCCTACCCTGCAGAGTTTGTCTCTCCTCCAGAAAAGCCATTTTCCTCGCAGCGACTCCCAGGGCAAACCCCCTACCTGGGAAAGCTGATCCCAGCATTTCTCTTCTTCCCCCAGACACTTCCCCAGGGAACTCCAGGGCCTTGCAGCACCCCTTTTGCTTCTCATGTTGGTCTGGGGTGGGGTGGGGAGCTCCCTAGCACTCAGTCTCAGGGATTTACTGCACCCCCATAACCCAGAGGGATCTCCCTGGTGAAGTTTACCTGAGCCAGGACTGCTGCAGCCATCGTCCTGCAGAGTGGAAAGACAGGGGGGAATGGAGCCAAGCAGCAGGAACGAAGGGATGCAGATCCTCAGTGGCCCGGGCTGGACTCAGGAAAATGGATCTGGAAACAGCAGAGAGAAGCGAGTGCCATGCTCCAGCGCCAGGCACAGACCCCGGCACCGTCAGCCCCGTAGGCCCGGAGCGGGGTCCCGCTGGCAGCGCCAGCCACAAGGACGGGGCGGCTCCCCCGGGCAGCCCCTGGCCCGAGGGCTGGGATTCACGTTGCTGCCTGGCAGGTCCTTCGCCCGACGGACTCCCCGCAGCGTCCCACGGAGCGGACACAGGTCCGCCGGAG